GTCATGTCTACCTAGGACTTGGGGGGGAGGGGAGGGGGGGAGAGATGCCAAGTGTAGGTAAGACAATAGGCGTTTATGTCTCTGATTTTTAAATCTACTTCTTTACATTCTGTGTATTGTTTGGGCAAATAATTCCTACTTTGTTTTGTACACGCTGCTTCTGTATCACTGCATAGACTCCTGAAAGGCAATTCTGGCAGGGTCCAAGCCCAATTGGATCTGCTAGGTAACAAAGCTGGCACCCAAGGAGGGGCCCAAAGATCCAGTCAGATAATGTTTAGATTGTGGCATCTCAGCCCAAAGAGATATGGAGGGATGGACCTACCACTTGCAAGAGGTGCACTCAGGAGGACTGGAAGAGGATCTAAAAGGGCAGCCTACCTAGGGACAGTGACAAACAAAACTTCTTCAAATCAGGCACCAGGTGTGTCAGAGTGGGGATCCAGAAAATGAACACACAATTAGCAAACACCTGTGAAAAGTTTAAGTTAAATTTAAGTTTGACGTTAAAGGGACTTGCTCAGATCACACAGGAACTCAAAGAAGGGGATAGAAGCTAGTTTTCCAAAGTGGCATCCAACGGTATTAACCACAAGACAGTCTCTCTCTTCCTGCAGTCCCTTGCCTTCCAATTCCTGCAATAAATGAGGAAGGGGCCCTACAGACCCCTTTCTCACTACACAACCCTAATTCATTCCACAAGCACTGCCAATCCTGTACACTGCAGGAGGCAGGGGTCCTGTGTGGCGGTAGGAGGTGGGAAAAGAGCATTATATGCACTAGGAAGCAGAATTAATGTTGTGCAGGCAACCTGCATTCTGGCATTGCCTAGGTTTAAGTGCTTAACTTTGTACCCTTAAGATCTTTTCTATGTCGTTGCCTAAATTTTTAAAAAGCAAACTGTAAAACAGAAATTCCATCCTGTGAAACCACAGTGACCCTCCCACGGGGTATCTGTGGGGCTGGCACCTTTAGATCCACAGCACAAGTAGGAGGGGTCTGAACTAGTGGAGACACAAGTGACAGTAGTAAGCTGTTAATCTCTATGTGGACCAGTCATGGGCAGGAAATAAAACATTTTGTGAGTGGGTTTCACAGATAATTGTTAGACAGCAAAGAGGTGTTGATTTTGGAATCCTGGATTCTATTGAAGTTTCTGGAGAGAAGTGTACTCTAGTGGATAGAGACCCTTCTGTCCCATTCCCTGCACCCACCCACCCCGGCTCCCCCACAACACACAACATCCAGCTTGTCCCTTTTTATACCTCTTCCATCTCCCCAAATGTTTCAAGTTTGGCAAATTACAAGCAACTGATTACATGGCCTTGTAACAAAGTGTTAGCCAACTTTAATTATAGGTGTTGCTGCCAGCTCTGCCTATAATAAATTGCATTCCATCCCTCCTCATTTGTTTTTCTGCTTTCTATATTGTGCCTGATTCTGTGAGCCATTACTCATCTGAATAACTTCACTGAAGTCAGAGGAATTATCCGTGTACAGGCTCGAAAGACCTGGCCCCTAGACTGAGGGTATTTTCAGGATACGGAACTTGTCTATGGAGGTGTCTATAGAAACCTACCAAACTATTAGCATTATTTTTCACAGGTGCTGGGAAGTGGGAGGATTGTTCTTAAATATCTTAAATGTTCGTGTGTCAAGGTTCCTTCCCCACTCTGAACTCTAGGATACAGATGTGGGGACCTGCATGAAAACTTCCTAAGCTTACTTTTACCAGCTTAGGCTAAAACTTCCCCAAGGTACAAACTATTTTACCCTTTGCCCTTGGACTTCCACTGCCACCACCAAACGTTTATCTGGATTTATTTTATTAGGAAAGTGTTGTTTGGAAACGTCTTTCCCTCAAAAATCCTCCCAACCCTTGCACCCTACTTCCTGGGGAAGGTTTGGTAAAAATCCTCACCAATTTGCATAGGTGACCACAGACCCAAACCCTTGGATCTTAAGAACAATGAAAAAAGCATTCAGGTCTTACAAGAAGAATTTTAATAGAAGAAACAGTAAAAAAAGAAGTAACGATAAAAAGAATCACCTCTGTAAAATCAGGATGGTAAATACCTTACAGGGTAATCAGATTCAAAACATAGAGAATCCCTCTAGGCAAAACCTTAAGTTACAAAAAGATACACAGACAGAAATATCCATTCTATTCAGCACAGTCTAATTTCTCAGCCATTTAAAGAAACCATAATCTAACGCATACCTAGCTAGATTACTTACTAAGTTTTAAGACTCCATTCCTGTTCTGTCCCCAGCAAAAGCATCACACAGACAGACAGACAGAGAGATTTGTTTTCTCCCTCCCTCCAGCTTTGAAAGTATCTTGTCTCCTCACTGGCACCTGACCAAAATGACCAATGAGGTTATCCTAGCTTCTTAACCCCTTACAGGTGAGAGGATTTTTCCTCTGGCCAGGAGGGATTTTAAAGGGATTTACCCTTCCCTTTATATTTATGACATCGTGGTAATGGATTTTTCTGCATAATTTAAAAGGAAATAGGACATACCTGAGTGTTGAGATGTATGGTGCAGGCTATGAACAAATGATTTATTGGTTTTGTTGAGTGGCAATCAGTGAATTAGATTAACTGTTAAGCACTGTCAACGTGCTCAGTGCATCCATGACATGGAAGATGGCAGCCTCTGCCCCAAGAAGCTTATGTGCAGTATCACGTCTAACCCTATATATTGATCAGAATAGGACCTTATACTTAAAAAAGGAGGCCTAGACTATATTGCAACAACTGTTATTGGATCTTCACAGTCAAAATGAGACATTACTGGATGCTTTGAAAGTTTTAAATATTAAACAGCTTATGTAATGTTTGTCCATCAGCCTTTGGTTTTGAGGGAAGAAACTATTTTTATGTCCCATTAAAAAGGATTTGTCAAAATATCAGTTTTCAGCAGTGTACAGATGAAGTTGTGCAACTTCTTAGTCTACTTGCAACAAGAAGTGTGGAAGATCCCACTCAGAAACTGCAATTTTAGACAATTTATTTTAAAGGGAGGCTGCCTTGATTAAAAATTCCAACAACAATTAATTATATGTTCAAGTACTTGACACTGATGATCTGTTTAATATTGCAGAAATTAAATTTCTGACAGAACCAAATAAGTTCAGAGCAGAGATTTTCATTTTGTCCTCAAACACCCTGGTTGTGCCTTTGTGATCTAGTTATGTTTACAAAAACATTGCTCTAGGTTACCACTAACAACATTAAATTAAACTCTCCCACGCCCTCAATTTATAATCTATATGTTACTGGCAAAACTAGGTTACTTATAATTCCTCTCCGTATACAGTCCTCACTTGAGCCAACTTTTGTAGTTAAGCCAACATCAAAATTGACCCCCAGAATCATTAAAGCAGTTAGCATAGATCAGTGCTACATCCCTTGATTCATGCAGTTTATGGCTCTAATACTACATTCAGAAGACACAGCAACCTCGCTACCTGTTCCCTGATTCCAGAGAGAAACAGGAGTGAAGGACGATTGGTGAAGTCAACATTTGGAAGACTCCAGCTACTGATAAATAACTCATTTTTTCCTTCCATGAAAGGATCTCAACCATGCCACTATACAGTACTGGTATAGTTTCTGCATTTAAAACAGTAATCACATCGAGTGAGCACACAAATACAGAATGCTATCAATTAGATAAGGAAATACTTAGCATCACAGTTAAATGCAAGGTGGAACAAATTCTTTAGCATAACCAGTCTGCTCCACCTTGCAATTAGCTGTGATGCTCGGAGTACCTTTCCCAGACCTGAAGAAGAACTCTGTCTCAAAAACTTCTCTCTCTCTTGCCCACAGAAGTTGGTGCAATAAAAAAAAAATTACCTCACCCACCTTGTCTCTCTAATGTCCTGAGACCTACACAGCTACAACTACACTGCACATGCTCAGCAAAGGGAGCTTTAAACTCAGTACAGTTGTTCTGAAGTCAAGAATGTACAACTACATTCAAACATCTACCCTGGTGCAAGAGAACCAGATGACTGAAGAAAAAGCCCAGCTAGTAAGTTAGAAATTAGTATTTAGTTACACAATTAGCAATAAGGCAAAAATGCAATGAATGTTACCAGCATCTTTTGAACAGTCATCTATCCCCATATTCTTGCTTAGGTATAGCAGTGATCAAAATAAATCACTCTTGAATATTAATACCTTTGCCATAATGTTTAACCTCCATCCCCCCACAAATTAGTGTTTTACATAGGAGTTTTCATAACAATTGACCCTTTAATTTTCTAATTAGTGTGACCTTAAGATTTAAAGCATTAGGGAAAGAATTTCATATTTTACTACTAGACCAGGAACAATTTTGTAACAGATTGACTGTGCATGACGAGGAAGTCAGAGGGGACAACACGAACAGGAACTAAGTGACAAGTAAAAGTCTTAGGAAAACACTTTACGTTATAAGATTTTTAAAAAAAGATTAAGATTGGTGATCAGTTTATCAGTCACTTATTTTAACAGACTACATTTCAGGGACTAGGAGACCTATCAGCTTTCAATTACTCTCTTTAAAACAATTTTTTAAAAGGAGTATTGATTTAAAAAGAACACCATTGTATTATTTTGCATCTGTACATCAAATGATAATGAAAACCACTGAAGCTGTTTCTATACACCAAAACAGTAAGTCCATCTATGGAACAGCTGAAAGATGACACATTGGTGAGTCTCTAAGTGCCTCTCCATAATGGAAACTTCAAAGGAGCTCTACATCTGTCAGAGGAATACATCTGTGGAAGGAATACATTTTCCAAAAACCAAATAAAAATTCTCGTAACAAGTATTCTTTGTGAAATACACAAAAGCTACTGCTTTATATATATTCAAAAACGTGCACTGGGAAAGAATTGTATGCACAATGGATTATTTTAAAAAAAGGGACACTTGGGTGATGTAAGCCTTATAAAGCAATTTCAAAAAAATCCAAAAAAGGGACAAAATACAGAAAGTTACCTGAATTGAAGGTGCTGATTCTTGCCGACTGACAGCTCCCTCTAAAGATGCCAACGCAACACCGTCAGTCTGATGGGTCACTGGGCTGCCAATACTAAGAGATGGATCTGTCCTATGTGACTGCCATGTCTCTTTTCTATAATGAGATTCAGCAGCTTGTTCATCTCCAAAAGCAGCCCAACAACAGCTTTCTTTCTGTTCATCTTCAAAAGCATTCCATTCTGCAGCTTCGTTACAACCAGCTGAACTAAAGTCTGCAAAGTCGTCAGAGTCCTGAATAGCACTGCACTCATCTTGAGGTTTTGGCACTGAATCAAACTCTCCAAATTCACTATTCTCTCCATTTTCCAACTCAGCAAGAGGTGGGACTTCCAAGTCAGAAAGCATATTGGTAGCTCTATATTCTAATGTCTGATTTAGTTCAGAGTGACCTAACCTTTGTTTGTCAACAGTTAACACAATACTTATATCCCTAAAATCACCAAATTCAGCACTTGGCTCACTGAAGTGTGCAGATTGTTCAGAAGATTCTTCTAAACTTAAATCATTCACTGACTCTTGAGTATCGCTAATAAAAGCAGGAGATGCACCACTGACTGTGCAAAAATCATTTTCATTTGTATCACTACAAGACAGAAATTCAATGCTACTTTCACCATTCTTTACATCTTCAGAATCACCCAAATCAGTTTCTTCTGCAGGATCAGTGGTGGGGTTTTGAATTTTAGTGAAGTTGATACTTTCTGTTTCTGAAGAATCATTAGCCCTAGAAAAATCAAGTTCTTTGCTGTTCCCAATGTCACAATATTTTCGCCTTCCAGTGTTTTCTGCATTTTCAGTAGTGCCTATTGAAATTTCCGTTGTTTGAGGTGTGCTACAAATGATGAAGTCATTACGTTCCAGTGCTGTAGGGTCTTGCTCACAATTACTACCGACTTCATCATCTACTAAACTGGTTTCTGAAATGCAAGCCTGCTCATCTTCAGTGTAAGTCTCTCCTTCATATTCATAGTTTCTATCTGAAGACACTTCCTTTGTAATACTTTGTTGAGCCACTCTATTTATTATATGGTTTTCCTGTACATTCAGTGCTTCTCTTTCATTAAAAACTTTGCATATTTTATGTCCTGGTTCTTCTAAATGGATTGTTTCATTGTTTGAGAATGCAGCAAAATCTGCAAAATCCTCAGCTGGGCTAGGCAAAGAGTCTAAACTTAACTCAGTGCTATGAGTGCTAGTAGTTTTTAGTCCCTTTGAGTCACTGACGCTGTCCAGATCTTCTATTCCCTGAGGATTTACAGAATCCAGTGCTGCAAAACCATTTGTTAGAATCTCTAGACATGGGAGTTTCTCACCATTACAAGTGTCTATTTGCTGGTCCTGGCCTGTAACTTTCATATCAGTTCTAATGCTTTCAGAGGAGAAGCCCTCTGCTTTCCCAATGTTCTCTTTTTGTTCCCCTATTCTCTTTACATCTGCCAGATTTACATCAAAGGAAGTACCTGAAGTTCTAGATTTACATTTTTCTTTGCTGGTATTAGTTGATATATCAGAGAGTTCTTTAGCGGGTTTAGGAAGTTCTGCAGTGCAGTCTTTAACTTTACCATTTTTAACAGAGTTAAAAGTTGCACGGCTATCTCCATTGTCAGAGTAATCATGAATTGGCATAAAATGGTTTGTAGGTATAAATTCCTCCTTTGAATTACTGTAGTCTGGTGCATCAAAATCAGCAAAACCTACGCCAGAAGTGCCAACACCAGAGAATCCACCAAATTCCCCAAATTCATCATCATCATCATCAGCGCCATTGTCAAGTGGCGGAGGGGAAGAAGAGTACATCCGAATTATGTCTGGTTCCATTGTTTAATTCCTTTTAGAAGAAGGTTAATTTATATCTACAGAGGAAAAACAGACATCATTACTTTTCTGACATATAAAAAACTGCAATTTATTATGCAGTTTTACAGTTATACTGTAAAAAAGTGAGATTGTTAGTGTGTAATATTTTGTTTCACATTTCATTTAAAGAAAAAATGATATAAGCAGTGCATGGGCAACATTAGAAAAGGGAAACAGTTGTATTCTGTCATCAGATAAAGTATTCACAAAATGTGCTAGAGATTGCATCACATTTATCTCAGTGCTCTAGACAGGAAGTGTCTGATGTAGCTTTAACAAACCAATTATTGAGAGGAATGGCCAAAATGTAGACCTTTGATGACCGAGTAGGACTTTATAAAGGGGGCCAAAAAAAAATACCATCAGTGAAACTTTCTCGTTCTTTTGTTTTTTTAATATACCGTCACAAAAACTGCCACACAGTTAAGACTTCTTGTTAACTGCTGGAGGATTACATCAAGATTCCACACCAAAAAGAATCCCGAAGACATGAAACACATTTGTTTTGACAAGCTAAGGAACTCTCCACAGAGGTGGTCAAAATGGGCTTCAGTGGTTCTTAACTTCTCTTGGCCTGTGACTCAAAAGATGTCCAAAAATACACTTGACGTATCACACCCCACAATCTTGTGTGTGTGTAGAGGACTATGGGAAAATATTAAGCCATTTTAAGGGTTGTGCGTCAAAAAAATGGGGAATTCTCCCCTTCTGCATGGCACTCACCTCACAAAGATAGCTCCACAGGATCCTAGCTTTGGACTGGTAGGGGAAAGGGAGAGAGGAGCTGACTGGATAGTGAGTAGGAGCCTGGAGTTCCTTCTCCTCAAATCCAGACTTCTGTTGGATTCTACAGCCCATAGGATTTTATAGTTCTCAGCCAGAGTGCATCACTTACTAAGCAACTAGTCCAACTCATTTTCAGGTCACTATCCATTAGTTGAGAACTGCTGCTGTAAGTACCATCAAAGCCTAATGCAAAAGTAACCTTTTCATCAAAGTTTATCCACAAAAACAGAAGCTAGGATTATCTTTAAAATATTCAACTGAAAGCCACTAAACTGCAGAAAGGAGAGGAGTCCAATTTTTTAGAAGTCTTATACTCCACATATTAGTGTTTTCAGTGCCTAGGAACTATGGTGATTGGGTGCTTTATAAATACCTTAGAAATAAAGTTTATCATTTAAACTTAAACTGTAAACTACTTTAGTAACGGTTATTTTGAAAGAAAATCTCAATCTTTCCCTTTAAATGGTTTTTTAAAATTTCAATATTGCATCAGCTGCAAGTTCCCACTGAGTTTATTTATATTTACACATGGTGAGCTGTATATGCCATTTAATTTGGTGGGAGACAGGGCTCTTCCTTTAGAATGCAAGTTTCAAAGCAGTCTTTACACTTTACAAAATAGGAGTACTCATGAATGTGTAACATTTACTGTTCACAAATCATGACCATCATTCAACGTAGGTATTGGAGCTGTACATACACCATAATATTTATTTCCTGTACAAAAATGGCTATATTGAAATGTGCCAGACCAAAAAGGACTTTTGGACCAATAGGTGTTAAATGGATTTCCTGGGGGAAATGGGTAATGCCATAACTTTGGTTATGCAAAAAACAAAGAAACAAAACAGCTTTCTGAAGCTACAACATGAGGAGAGGGTGATCAACTGGTGATTACACGTTTCGGGAGACTGGAGACCTGGCTTGGTTCTGGTTCCCAATCTTAAGAATGATGTGAACTTGGTAACCACAGGAAAAACCCAGTTGTGGGGTCTGAAGGACTGAGGCCTATTAGAACCCTATGTTGGAGCTGGGGGTGACCTCTCATGAGCTGTTGAGCATGCGTGTAGGTTATTTTATTTTTTATATGCTTTCTCTATAATGTTTTACCTCAAGAATAAATGTGCGTGGCAACTTGAAACTGCCAGCAATATACTGGCCATAGCCCTCGGAGAGAAAGCAAAGCACAGGCATTGGCCTCTTAGGGAGAGTGGTTTGCTGGAGATATCGGAGTATAGGTCAGGGAGCAGTGCAGCCTTAAAACCCTCAATTAAAAGGGAGTGAGATGCAGGCCTCCACGCACTAGAGGTGATGGCTGGGAGTCAGAAATCTTTAAGTAGGTCCCCTCGAGGGGAAAATACAGGTGCAATTACCCTAAAAATGTGACACAACATTGCAAACCTCAGTAGTAATTTTCTATCACATTATTGCAGGGTTTAACATTTGTTACAAAAGTTACTGGAGCAACAGCAAACTAAACCCAATGCTTCCCATGAGTACTGTATAGTCTCCTTCCCACTCTAGTCCAAGCGATCCACAGACAGATCTGTAATGCCATGCTTTCTTGAAAAACCACCTAAAATGACTACCAAAATGACATAACTGCAAAGAACATTTACAACATCAGTTTCAAGGGTCCAAGGATTTACTGAAGTAAAAATACTCTTAAAATATTTACGTTAAGCTTTAAAAGGAATACCCCCAACAGTTCTGCAAAACATTTTTTTTTAATTAGGTATTGTAATGTAGATTGGCATAAACTGTGCTGACATTCTCGCTTTCAGTTATCTTGAAACTGAAGTTCCCTAGCCCCAGGAGATCCAAGTAATCTTTAGGCTTTCAGTACAGTAAACAACTGTTTTTAAAAAGCTAGTTTACTACTTATTTCTCCACTTCTTTGAAGCCATTCTGGGTAATCAGAGTGTAGTAAAATTATTTCTAAAAAGGCATAATCATCAGGTCAAGAAAGCATATTATGAAAGTCATTGAAACAAGTTTTATGGAACAGTCCAATGGCATTCCAGCAGAGTTTTATCACTGCATGCTTTCTGCTCACTGAATTTTCAGTTAGCAGCTAAATCCCTTGACAGTACAATATAGTAAAGTCAGTCCATCAAGCTAGAACATCTGTAACTGGAAAGAGTTAGATATGTAAGTACCACTGTACCACCTTTCATATATTTTTATCCCAACTAGCAAAACAGGAATAAAACTGCTAGAGCATAGAAGATAGTTGAAGTGCTGATGTTTATGATATTTTGTAGGAAAATCCACAATATGGATTTGATTTATCTGGTCCCAATATGGGGTGGCTCTTTCTTAAAAGGAAGAAACTCACATCTTCTCACTCAGCAGGATATTTTTCAGTCTATTGGTGCTGGGGGGGAAAAACACCATTATTATACAGAAATTGGTGGCGGGTTTTTTTTTGTTTTTTAAGAAAGTCAGTATGCTGTGGAAAACAAAGTTAGATTTTTCAAACTTTCCTCTCTAAATAGGTAGAAACTGGAAGTCAGAGTCTGCAGAAACAGCACGCTCAGCGTAGGGGATGGATAGGAGAGGGTTAGCTTCTCTCATCAATATGACCTCCTCTGATTAGTTAAAGAATCATTGAATGTACTGTCCAAAGGGAAACCTATAGGATGCATTCCCCTAATACCCTCAGAGACAAAGCACTTGTCTCCATTACAAAATTAAGTTGACACTATTTAGGTCAACCTACAGCCACCGCAATAATTCAATCAGCTGTTGGTGTCCACACTACTCTCCTTCTGCCGGTGGTGCGCATCCTCACCAGGAGCACTTGTGGGGCACTGACAGTGCAGCGCTCACAGCTTGAGCCCCTCACCCACCTCAGGGTGACAGCCTGAGCTGTGAGCCTGGAGCCAGCTCAATTTCACAGCATGGAGCTTATCAGCAGGCTTCTCAATTTCAGGACTGTCCCTGCTCCCAGCAACCTGCTGCTCACAGCTGGAGCCATGAAACTGACAATTTCACTGCTGGTAGTTATGTTCCTGTAGCAGGCCACTTATTTCAGCTACTTACAAAGGTTTGGCCTACGCTACAGTTGGGTCAACCTAAGGTAACTTACACCGACCTAATTATGTCAGTGTCTACACTAGAATGCTGCTTCTGCCAAAGTAAGTGGTCTACTACATCAACATAAGCACTCGTCTCTCTCATGGAGGTGGAGTTAATGTCGGTGGAGTTAGGGAGATGCATTGTCCCTGTAGACACTGTTACTTATACTGGCTGTCATTCTTATCAGTTTCACAGCTGTCACTGCCTCACCTCTGCAGCCCCTCACTCAGCTGGAGCTGTGAAATTGACAAGAATGTTAACTTCCACTGCTGGTAGGCTTCCTGATGTGAAATTGAACCCCAGGTGGGGTTCACAGCTCAGGCTGTCACACCGGGGTGGATGGAGGGCTCCAGCTGTGAGCCCCACACAGCTGTCAGTGTCCCACACCCAGCTGTCAGTATCCCACAATGTCCCACTTCAGTCGGTGCAAGTGCTCCTGGTGAGGACATGCACCACCGGCAGAAGGAGGGTAGTGTGGACATCAACAGCTGATTGAATTACTGCAGTGGCTGCAGGTCAACCTAAATCTGTAGTGTAGACAAGCCTTTTGTTTTAAGTAAGGTTTTAAATACACAGGAGAACAATTGCTGAAGGCATGTCTACACTACAAACTTAAATCCTATATAGGTTGACTTTTAGCCACCACAATAATTACAGGTTCGTGTCTACACTGCCCTCTTTCTGTCACCAGGAGCACTTCCACTGACTTAAGAGGGACAGTGTGGGAGCCTGAGAGCCAGGGCTGGCAGTTCTACATGCAGCTCTGTGCCGGAAGCCTGGCGGCTGTCTGGATTCTCGGCTCCCCAGCTCCCCTGGGAGTTTGGAGTGCGCTCCCAGCTCAGAGCAGGGAGCCCACTGTGCACAACTTGGCTCACACGGAGCCCCCCACCCACCTTGGGGTGACAGACCACTTTCTTTTCAATTTCGCGGCTCCGGCATGGATGAATGACAAAAATGACAGCCAACAGACCATGTAAATAACATGCAGTGTCTACACAGATACTGTGTTGCCCTAACTACACCGACACAAGCCTACGCCTCTTGTGGAGGTGGACTTATTATGTTGATGTAGTAGGGCACTTACATCGGTGGGAGGAAGGCTGTAGTGTGTACACTGACATAAGTAGGTTGACATAAGCTGCCTTACGTTGACCTAACTCTGTAATGTAGATCAAGCCTGAGTGATCCGAGGGCTGCCATCCCTCTCTTGGCCCAATTAACCACTGGACTCAAACTGGAAGGAAAGGCGCAAAAATATTTCTATTAAATATTCAGTTTTTAGTAAAGACAAGTTTCTAAAAAGCCATAAAAGAACATTTGATGTCATATGTTTCACACTTTTCTTTAAAAACAGAATAACTGATATTCATTAAGTTCTTGTCCCTTTTAAAGTCAATGTAATGTAAATAATACAATTACGAGTATTTTAAAATATGGCATTTTCTGCACACTGTTTTTAAGAATAGCTATCTGGCTTCATAACCCTTCTCCCCAATAAATTAAAGCCTTAAGTGTCATTTCAGACCTGAATTTTGTTCTACCTTAAGATTATTCGAACTCAAGGGAGACTTAAAAGATTAAGAATTCAAACAGTGAAGATAGTCTTCCAGTCATTTAGATGAAAACGGATTGAAAAATACTGATTTAGATAATATCTACCACTAACAAACAGCCACTAGCTTTTTATACCATAAAAACAAACAGTTTTTCACCTCTGGTTGTGAATCTGTAGTAGCAGCTAAAATGATCTTAAAAAGGTAGAGAAAGTTTAATCTGTTTTTAAAAAACAAATAACTCTGTAGCCTTAAGTTTACTTTTTGGCTTCTGACCTCTTGTTTTCCCTGTTTTTGCTAGATTTGATATTCCTGATTTTTCTGCAAGTAAAAAAAAAAAAAATCCAAGCAGACAATTCTTTAAACATTTCTTTAAAAGGAAAAACAAAATACATGTTTCTCAATCAGAAAGAAGTAATAAAAGGACACACAAACTCCTAACTTATTTCTTTACATTTCACCTTTAACAGAACATAACCTCCAGAGCAATGCTACCTTCTGTAATGTTGTCGGTGACCAAATCACTGTGTCTTTGAACAAAGCATTAGAAATGTTCAGCTCTAACTGAAAAGGGAAGTGGGGCAGAAGAAATGGGGGGGGGGAGGGGGGAAGAGAATGGAACAAAATTTGAAAACATTTTAAAAATTTAATAAAATACATTAGAATAGATATTGATAGCCCTAACAAACATGTGGTGTATTGTGAAGCGTAGGTAGCTATGTTAGTTCAGTAATAAAACAAAAGTCTGGTTTGCTCTTCTCATTCAAGAGGCCATCAAGTTTTTAAAGAGCTGTAAAAGGTAGTACTTTTTAGGTCCCAGGAAAACAGTACCTTATACAATTCAGTGGTCCATCTGATTGGCAGAGAAGCAGCAAAGGGCTGAGAAGTGGGTTCCATCTGCATCATCAGGGGTACATGGATATGAACAAAGGGAGGGAAAATAAATGACTGGGGGAGAAAGGTAATTAGAGAAATATTGTAGTTTATACAAGATATGGGCCAATGTCTTGCTAACATTTTTCCTGCAAACTTTTTTAAATGTCACCAAATTGACTAAGAAGTTCAGATTTCACTAAACATTGACTGTACAGTTCCATTGTGTTGCTGTGTACTAATTACTAAACAGTTGATTTTATTATACTTATTATATATATTTATTATACACGATCTGAGTTCAAGACAGCTACATTTTCAGTAGCAAAAGAAGGTGAAAACACTTGTACTGCTATTTCAAATTTTCTATGTTAATTGAAAGATGCACCAAAATTAATCCTCAAAAAATTAGTCAGAAGCCTTGCTTAAACTTGAAAGCTTTTTGTTTAGAAAACATTCAGCCTGTATCTATTTTGCACTATCACCACATGTGGAGAATTTGCTTTTTTAAATTCAGGGATTTGCATGAAATCAGATTCATTGTTCCTGCTGCTTATACATCACATGAATTCAACCCTTTCAAAAACCACATTTATCTCCACAGCTAATAAAACTGATGTCAAACACTAAGGATTAGGATTTCAGGTGAGAAATGAACAGCAAACACCAATGAATTTAAAAGAAACGTAATTCTTATTTCTAGACAATGTCCCTACCAAAGATGATTTTGTGTGTATATATAGCGTTTATCTCAAAGCTTTTTAAAAACGAGACAGGGATCACTTAATCCACCACTAGAATGGAATAAAACAGATCAACTGTTTAGTAATTAGTACACAGCAACACAATGGAACTGTTTAAAGCCTAGATCCTGCAACAGGACCTGCAAATGATTTTAAATGGTCAAGACTTGTGAAATGTCAAGTTACAGCGCCTCCCAGCAATCATAACTTTGCCAGTTGGCATCTCGCCTTAGCATTTGTATATTTAACTTTATAATCTAGCCCCATGTAAAATAATTGTCTTTTTAAAAATAAACTGCATATTCAACTACATACATGTATATCATATGACTTATTTGGAAGCTCTGATGTGTTAAAATCACACATATGTGTTTCAATTGTAACAAATACAGAAGAGCTAGGATTACCATACGTCTGGTTTTTCCTGGATATTGTCTCTTTATTGAGCTTCTGTTTGGGTGGATTTTTCAAACAGGCAATGTCTGAGATTTTTTCAGAGCGGACTCTGGAGCTCAGAAAGAGCCCTGACTGGTCCACTTTCTGATTGGTCCATTCTCTGCAGCCACAGCTGCCGGATCCTGCCTACCCAGGCCCCAGCTCCCAGCCCTTGGGAGGGTCTTGCAGGGAGGCACTGAGGGATGGCTGTCACTGCATCTTGGGCTTATGCCAGCCACCCTGCAACAGTGACAGGGAGTGAAACTACCCCCCACCTTCCAGTAAGTACCCTTGATGCAGGTACCTCCTCTACTTCTCCCCCTCCCTCCCCCCCACAGTATCCTCTTTTTGGGAATGTGAAATATGGTAACCCTAAGAAGAGCTCCATGTATGTATGGAGCTCTTCTTAGGGTTACCATATTTCACATTCCCAAAAAGGGGATACTGTGGGGGGGAGGGAGGGGGAGAAGAGAACAGTTGGGGGAGCTGGCGGAGGTACCTGCATATATACACACACACACACACACTATATATACTAATTCACAGGGGCATAGGAAAGGTGCATCACAGTACATAAAAGGATAAAATCAGTTTTTTCAAGAATTTGAAGACAAAGTATATTAAGTTAAAAATTCAGTGGAAAAAAATCATGCCATTTTTTCCTAAGATTGGCTAACTCAAATGGCAAAAATTGAATTTGATTACACTTTTCAGTTTAAGAGATGGCAATTCTATCAACTCTCACTATGAAATGGAAACAAGCATTAGAATTTTCAGCTCACAGGCTAAATTTCTTTTTTAAAAATTCAGAATCTTAAAAAAAAAAAAAAAAAAAAAAAAAAGGGAGGAGGATTTACTGTGAGAGCTTCCCCCTCCCAAGACAAACTATTGAAGTGAATCCACTGTCATGCACTCAGACATTAACATTCTGTAAAATCTGTGGCTTTTCAGCATGACAGCTTTCTTCATTAATTCCGTTAGTTGTTAATCCCTGCTTTTGTCTGACATCTCAAATGGAGTCTAAGAGCTAGAATTGTGGGTTTATCTTTTGTGACAGAGAATTCTTTTCTCAGTTTAAACATCTTCTGAGTCACACTCTAGGCCAGTGGCTCTCAACCTTTCCAGACTACTGCACCCCTTTCAGGGGTCTGATCTGTGTTGGGTACTCTCAAGTTTCACCTCACTTAAAAGCTAATTGCTTACAAAAATCAGACATACAAATACAAAAGTACCACAGCACACTTTTTAAAAAAGAAAGCAAGCATTTTTACCATATAATTATAAAATAAGTCAACTGGAACAAATATTGTACTTACATTTCAAAGTTTAATATATAAAGCAGTATAAACAAATCATTGTCTGTATGCAATTTTAGCTTGTACTGACTTCTCTAGTGCTTTTTATGTAGCCTGTTGTAAAACTAGGCAAATATCTAGATGAGTTGATGTCCTGCCTGGAAGACCTCTGTGTGTACCCCCAGGGGTACGCATACCTCTGGTTGAGAACCACTGCCTATACAATCTGGCAAAACAGGTTTTCCTTCTTTCTGTGGGGTTTGTGCCCATCCAATTAGAGCCATTTAGACACACACACACACACACACACGCCTTGGTTAACTCCTTCAGAGAAATATATAAAATTATCCCACCCTACCCTTTAGAGAAGATGGCTCTGAAATAGAAGTTTAGAAGAGCTTATTCCAAGATCCAATCATTTGAAAATTCTGGAAACATGAATTTATGAACAGAGCTTTATCTGCAATTGGTTTAAAATAAGGATGGTTTGTTTGTTTTTTTTTTTGGAGAAAGTGCCACTGTGTGCGAGAGGATGTCAGGAAGGCATTTATTTCCATGGTTTGAAGTTTGTACTAACCTGGCAGTAGAGCTAATTTTTTTTTTTTTAAATGTGAGGTAAAGGAATGTGTCCTTGACTGTTCACCTCTAAACGGTTTGTTTGGACACTTTCACAAACTCACTTTTAGAATGATACTTAGATATATCAGAGGGATCAGTTTCTTCTCAATACAAAATGCACCTTCAACAATAGTTATCCTCCTTCTGAGCAGCTCCAATTCTCTTTTTGTACTCAAAGGCAGAAAAATTGGAAGATCATGCCCAATATTGCTACCGTAAGTAAACTGGATTGAACAGTCACACTCCTATCCTCCCCTATAGAGTGTGAATTTTAACTTCCAATGCCTGTTCAGACACATACTGAAAAAAAAACATTAACTATCATTCATGACCTTTCCATATCTGTATGGTTATAAAAAGCAGTGGTTATATTATATAGGGGGCAAGGATAGCTCAGTGGTTTGAGCATTGGCCTGCTAAACCCACAGTTGTGAGTTCAATCCTTGAGGGGGCCATTTAGGGATCTGGGGCAAAAACTGGGGATTGGTCCTGCTTTGAGCAGGGGTTTGGACTAGATGACCTCCTGAGGTCCCTTCCAACCCTGATAATATTCTATGATCACAAGCGTCATGCATACACTTTTGTTCTAAGTCTTATCTCAGTCTCCAACACAAAGAGGCAACTGACTTCCCTATGTACACACTATAGCTTGTGTTGGTATAAGTTATGTGTGAACAAGGCAGCCCCATGAGTGACGTAAATTACATTGACCTAAGCATCAGTGTAGACAGAGCTTTTCCCACTGACATAGCTAAGGCTGCTAGCAGGGGCTGGAGGAACTAAGTCGACAGGAGAGCTCTCTCCCATCTGCTTACAGCATTTGCACTAAGAGCGCTACAGTGGCACAGCTGCATCGGTACAGCCACGCCGCTGTATGCTCTGTAGTGTAGCCATAGCCTTAGAGGACCAGACTGTGTGTACTATGATGAGGAGTCCTAGTTCTCTCTTCTCAACAACTTGAGATCCCACAATGGCTTCTGTTGTGTTAAAAGAAGACTGTATTTCCATTTGAATTACATAAAGCTTATTTTGATCCACAGAGGTCAGTGTTGAGTGATGAAAGTCACATAGCTTCTCCCAGAGCTGAACACACCTCTAAGTTTTATAAATAAAATTGGTTTGGGCCATATTCAGTATAGTCTATAATGTTTTGCTTCATTTATCTTTCTCTATATATGTTATACAGATACATGTTCTCCACTATTGCTGCATAAAGTGCAAGAATATATGTTTGGAGAACCTGTACAAAGAGCTCATTTTCCATGAGGACCATTAAAACCTGCAAACGTATCTCTTAGGCAGGTCCATTACAGTCTTTCACCTACCATTCAAAAGAATTTTTATGCCAAGCTTACTTTCTTGTTACATGACTTGTTGCAAACTGGTTTCAAGTTTTCAACTTGTAACTTTATATTTCCATGACTATCAATTATAAGGGCATTGGAACTACTGACAAACTTACTGCTATTGAAAGGATCCACTGACAACACTATGCAAATGAACATTTGTATTTTATTTTAAAGGCAAACTAGAGCAATAATTCTGAATATTTAATTTTGATCAAGGTGAGTTATGTTATACCAGCTCTTAGTTTCATCAGTTTCTAAATAAAAATTACGAAAGTATATACATCTCAAGAAATTTAATCTGAAATAAAAATATTCAATGGAAGAGTGAAAACTGGAAAGCAATAATGCTGAAAGAGGCCAGAGAAGTGACAGATGACAGGTTTGAGTGGTCCAGTGGACTAAGGGCTTGTCTTCACTACCGGGGTAAAGTCAACCTAAATTACGCTACTCCAGCTACGTGAATAATGTAGCTGGAGTCGACGTAGCTTAGGTCAACTAACCCTGGTGTCTTCACTGCACTGAGTCGACAGCAGATGCTCTCCAGTCGACTTCCCTTACTCTTCTCAGAGAGCTGGAGTACAAGG